CAAGCGTAGCGCAAGTGTAGAAAGTGCATTGACAAGAACGTTAATAGCCCGAACCCAAACCCAAACCTAAGTGTAGAAAGTGCATTGACAAGAACCCAAACAACTACTAGCGCGGTTTCAGAGCCGACAGCAAAAACAAGGTACTTGACCCATTTTACGAGGTACGAACTCTCCAGTGGTCTACTCCACCCAAAACTGGAGATTTGATGGACTTCCAAGCAACTACATGCGCATGCAACGAATGGATTCTTCCAAAGCTTGAAGCCCAAACTGAGAGCTTCTGCTTTCCTTCGTATCTAGTGCTTGTTATTGACGCACCAAACCTTCGACTTGGGATGTGACAGGCCTTAGGGCCCGTAGGGGCCAGGACCCCATGTGCACAGGTCCACACGGTGTCCCACGGTCCACGTGCTGTTTGATGGACTTAGACGGAGTAAGAGCTTGTGACATGTACCCTCCTCAAGACTCTTGGCTCAATTGGTGGTTTCTATGGGCTTTTATCAGGTCTTTGGGATTGGAGCTGGGAGTTCTGAAGAGGCCATCTGTTGTGGAAAGCACATGGTCTTCGCAGGGTGCGGTATCGGTCTCCCCTTTTTCACGTGGGTTGGCCCCTGCCAGCCTCGCTTGGCAGGGCGCAAGGTGATGTCTGCACCCTTGTCATGCAGCCTGAAGCACGTCGAAGTCTTTTTGTGATCCAAATCGGAATCGGCGCTTGGTACACCCCCACCGGTGCATCGAAGGAGCTTACCCCCTCAGCACGGAAACTGGCAGGAGCCCTTGAGCTTAGGAACACCCCTTTCAACTGAAACAAACCTCCATGACCCATCGTTTTGCCTGGCCTTGGGGCAAAAACGACATGTACCTGGACCTGAACCTAGCCATAGCATGCCATAGCATGCCATAGCTAGCCACCCGACAAATGGAACTGGTCCACCCAAAACCACATCTGTTTCTGTGGATCACGGAGCGGTGCTGAGCTGCCACACAAGAACACCGTGGACTTCAAGTTCGAATGCGCCGCGCAGTAGACGGCGGTTCGGCCATGCTTGTCCTGCTGTGGTATAGATCCGAACGTTAGGTGCCGGACTTCACAAGCTCACCGTGGCGTAGTAGTCCGTTGATTGTTCGTAGCTTGCAGCCATATCAGGGCCAAGCCGACAGCATGAAGCCATACACTGGCTTCAAAATATATCTAGATAGCATGAAATAAACGCATGCCAGGGCCCCCCCAGAAATCAGGAGTGTCTACTCATAGCTCCTTAGATTTAGAGAACAGACCATTCCAGCTGACGAACTGGAAACAGTCTCACCACCGGTTAGGATCGGACTTCGGGGCCATCGTCAAATCCTTCAAACAACGGCCACCGCGTCAATCCGGGCCGTGCCGAACTGACCTGCAACGCATCGTTGATGGCTGGGTAGATCTCTGAAAGCACCGGAACCAGCACCTTCCAAGGGGTCACCAATGGAAGCCCACACACTACTGAGAGATCTCCATTGGACACCCCTTGGAAGGTCTAGGTACACATATGTTTCATTTAACCCAAGGGTGGTCAGTGGTTAGTGGAGAAAAACATTGTTTCCAACAAGGTCAAGTTTCAGATTGGACCACTTGAAGCACCACTTGGAGCACCTGCGGATCGACACCACCTCACTCATCGTGGCCTTTTTTACGTGCACAAGACGGCGGCGGCTTCTTCTGTCTCTCCCCGTGCGTCGGCCGTCACTCCTCAGCCGTCAAACCGTCACTCCTGGGCATCGACCATGCTCGCGGTCATGCTCTCGGCGAGCCATTGCACCTGAGGAGGAGGAGGTTCCACCGCTGAACGCCCCGCCGCCGCGGAGGGCCACGCGACGCCCCAAGGATCGAAACGGGTGATCCGTTGGTCCCGCTCTACGGATCGATGATGATGTAGCAGAAGGGCAACGGACCTGGTCTGGAACACCAACAACACCATTGGACCTGGGCATGTAACTAACATAGGTTTGGTATTCCTGTTGCTTGTTGATGCCGGAACACTGGCAAGCAACCCATCATCATATGTCAGCATCCCTGGACATGTTCATCCTGATCAAGTCATAAAGGAAAAGGCATGAAAGCCACCTAAGCCCTATGCCTATGCCACTGACAATACTTG